AGGGACTGCCTGCCTGTTACTCACATCTGGCACTGCTCATCTGCTGGCAGAGGAGTGGGACAAATTTGCTCCATCCCCATTGGACTTTGTGCTACCAACAAAACATTCTGATGATGCCACACCTGCTTGCCCAAACCCCAGTGTGTTTTTGAAATGAATATTGTTCATCCTTGAAGGATTAATTATTGCGTATCAGGGCTCTAAGTGATTGCATGCTCGTACTATAGGAGGAAGAAAGGAGCACATGGATTTCTGTGTGAATTTCTGGAGTGAGTGGCAGAGGAGCAGTGATCTCTGCTGGGAACTCCATGGCTGCTCTGTCCAGCTCCAGCAACACAACCCCCAAATTTGTCTAAACTGTGGGTTTCACCCCAAGTAATCTCCATGCTGCTGATTTTTTAACTTTGAATTCCATTTACCTTTTAGTAGCTTGTCATTTGAGAGTTCCTCTGAGTAGAGAAAAGCTGTGCACGACAAGCTGCTTCATTTGCAGCTGTGTGATGTGCACTTGACCAGGGATATTAAACACCGCATGAGACCATGACTGAGGCCTTGCTGGTCTGGGGGAGGCTGAGACAAAGGGGGAAGATGCCTCCTCCCCTCTCATCATGCCCCTGGAGTGTAGCACTGTAGGAGTGACGGGGGTAGGATGGTTGGGATGGAGGGACAAGAGATCTCTGAAGCCGGGTCGTGTCTCAGAATCTCTGCTGCTCACAGTGACTCTGAGATACATTCAAGCTTCTTTTCCCAGCCCAGCAGTTGAAGAAGGAGTCAGAATTCTTCTGTTCTCATTCTCAAGGTTGTTTATTATTTCTTATCTATAACATTATTTCTCCGACCCGTTGAGGTCTGTCTGTCAGGTTGGGTTGAGGCACACTGGCTGCACTCAGAGGTGGTGTTGTCTTTTTATACTAAAAACTACGTGTACATTATTTACCATAACTTCCCAATACCTATCACCTATGTTAGACAGTGAGCTTCTATTCTAAACCAATCTAAAAGTGCCAACATCACGGCAGAAGATGGAGGCTAAGAAGAAGGAGAAAGGCTGGACATGCCCAGATCTCTCCATCTTGCTCCCTGAACTCCCATTCTAAAAACTCCAAAAATCTATTTTTCACTCCATGACAAACTAATTATTATTCTACTTAAACCCTCTTGACTTGTAATTCTTCATATAAAGGTTGGTAATTGTTTTTTCCAAGGGCTAAATCAAAGGCACAGGGGTCTTGGGCTCTGTGCCAAGGTCTCTGAGCCCCCCGGGCAGGGCTGGAGCCCTCCAGGGCAGCCAGAGGAATTTTCTGGGTTCTTACAGTTGTGGAACTTATGGCTTATTGCCAAAGGCCTGGGTGCAGGGCCTTGCTGGGAGCTGCCATCAGCTCGGAGCAGGACTGAGAGAGGGAAAGAGAGGTAAAGAGAGAGAAGGCAAGAGCGTGGTAAAGAAGATGAGAGCAAAAGAGTAAAAGAGAGAGGACAAAAGAATAAATGAGAGAGAAGTTCCTGTTACAATACCATAAATATTCTTCTGTGTTGAATATTCTAATTCTCACTAACCAATCGACTACAATATACAAATCCTATAGCATTTACATCCAGCCTATAAGAATCATTATATTACCATACTGTGTTACATTTTAAACGCTAAAAACTCCTCTTTGGGCCCCTTCTGCCAAGCTAGTAGTGTCTGCTCTGACCCTTAGACCTGTCTGCAAGCAGAGGGTATTGTTTCACCAAAAGGGGATCACCTTCAGCTGGCCACACCATTGTTTTCCAGTTGTTCACTAACTAAGGTATCTCAAAGCTTGCTTTCATTTCAATCTCTCTTATAATTTCCATAATCTCAAAATCCTTTGCCAGGCAATCATATTTATAAGGCTTTCCTGTTTCACCTTCCCCAGCACAGCACCACCAGAAGTTGGGGTGGCTGATATGTACAGACACCACCTCCCAAAGGCACATTGTGCTCCAAATGCCATCATCCCTTTGAGAGATGCTCCTTGTGTCCTTTGAGGGGTGATTCAGCTTCTTCAGCTGTCTCCTCCCAGATTACACTTCGTATTTGCTGTCTTCCCACATGCTCACATTCTGCCTCTGATTTCAGGGTGGGGGACAGATGGGCTCAGTGCAGAGGACCCTGCAGGGGTGGGACTAAGCCTTTTCTCCCCTTTCCCTGTAGCACGGAGCAGTTTGTCTGCCCTCCCTCCTGAGCACAGGGTGCAGTGCCCATTTGGTTTGCACATCAGGGAGGGGAGAGGATCTGCAGCAGCCCCGTGCTCAGCACTGCATCTCTGATCAGCTCTCCCTCAGCCTCTGCCCCCCTGGCTGTGGGTGACCCTGAGTGTGATGGTGAGGCTGCTTTGGGGAGCCTCTGAGGCTTCCCAAAACTAGAAATGCAAAGCAGCAGTGAATGCATGGTGAAAACGGCAAAAAGTTCATATTGTATGGCTCTAAGCAGATATTTACTGTATGTATTATGCTGTATTGATTAGTAGTGCTGTATTAACATTTTAATAGTATGGTAAATGCAGTTTTGTAGTTAAAAGGCAACTTTTGTAGTTAAAATAGGAACTATGTATGTGGGATATTTTTTTAAGAAAGGAATGAGGTACTCACACCAGATAGCAGCCACAGGACACCTAAATCTTTCAGAAAAAGAGAATTTATTGCTCCATTATCAGAAGAAATTAACTTCTTCCTGCCTTGCTCAACCATGATGATGCTATTAGGTTTAAGAGGAAGAAGTTGACACTGACCAAATACAGAATCCTGTATTTGAATGGAATTTATGCATCATGTATGAGATGTATGAATGTGCAACAGGTTATTGTTTTTAAGGGTTAATCCTCTGTTAACATGTGTCCTTTTTTGGGCTTATTTTGCCCAGAAAAGGTACCCATACATCCATAACTCTTTGTTTCTGTTGTCTCATATTGTCCTAATCCAAATTGCCCAAATTATTATTACTCTAATTTTATTGCTAATTCTATAACCATTTTATTATCATTAAACTTTTTAAAATTCTAAAAACAAGTGATTGGTGTTTTTCACACAACCATACCACAGACTAAAGGGGAGGCTTTAAATGTTACAGCAGATTGATTGTGCTAAACTGCCATCATTGTGATGGCAGGAGGAGCACAAAGGATCAGATGAATGTGTGTGGTGCATAAAGGAAAATGGATAAATAAATATAATAGTTTTCATTAAAAATCACTAATTGCTTGAAATGCCATTTCTAACACACCTTCAACTAAATTAACAGAGCAAACCTGCCCTTGTCCTAACTAACCTTTGAAGGGACCAGGTACTAGACCTGCATAACAAAATAAATCCTTCCAAACATTTGTTGTGTAAAGCAAGGGGGTGGTATATTGGTTTCCTGTTGCAAATATTAAGAATTTAATTTGTGATGCAATCTACCTGGAAATTTTGCTAAGGTACCATGGGATTTTCCAGCCATTTAGGTGGAATGAAGAGCCAAGTCATGTTTGTTGCTCTAACATCCTGCAGTGTATTACATTTGAGTTTGCTTATTGCTGACATTAAATTTCCTGTGTGTGAAGGTCCTTGCATGAACACAGCTTTTGATGAGTGATTATGGGCATAAATTCAGGTCAGTCATAATATTTCCAGTGAATTCAGAGGAAATTGAATTAGTCTGTATGCTTGTGGGAAAGATTTTGCTGGGCACAATGGACCTTCTGCTCTCCACGTCATCACACAGGTGTTAGGACACTTGTGACCATAGAGGATAAGGTCCTGACACATGATTGAGCATCTTAATTAAGCTACTTGAACCTAGAAACATGCAGAGAGTTTTGCATTTGCTGACAATGTATGTTTACTTTCCTTCTGAACATACCCATCTGTTGCTTAATGAGTGGCCTCTTCTTAGAATTTTCCATCTTTCTCTTGCTCTTAGAATATTGTTTGGAATTGGTGTAATTAATGTTCTACCCTGGGCTTGCACTGGGGTACTCTCTTCAGGATCTCCACAAGTTAAATATATCCTTTGCAAATTATTTGTAAACATTTAAGGAACAAACCCATCGAGGCATTGCTGAAGTAGCTAATTAGATGTGTGCTTGTAGAGATGATTTTTCTCTTTAGAGCTAGTGTTTTGGCAAGAGGCTTGGTGGGGATGGTGAGGATGTAAAAAAGCCATGAAGACTCTTGGAGCTGGTGCACAAAGAGCTTAATGATGCTGTAGGGAAATTCAGGCATCAAGACCAGGCGTAACGTCCAAGGAGCAGGAATTTGGTGGGAAGGAGTGTGGGGCTGTCATATGGCTGCTGGTTCCCTGTGTGAGCTTCTCCAGGGGGTCAGATCCCTGCTTTCTCCCTGCCAGCCTGTCTCTGTCACTCCCTTGCACCCTGCAGCAAAGCTTCATGAGGATTCAGCCTCCATCCAACCATCTTCATTCATCTGGCACAGGAACTTCCATCTTCACCACCAACAACCGTCTTCATTCATCTGACATTAACTCTGATTCAGCCTCAGATACTTAACTGTTACACAATTTGGCTTCAGAAATGATTGAAATAATTTTTTCTGAATAATAACTGTATTCTGGGCTGTGAAGCACTTTGGACTGTTTGCTTTGATCAAAAGGGCCCTAAGGCTACAAGGATCATCTGGTTTCTATCTCCTTGCCTTGGGCAGGGACACCTTCCTGTAGACCAGGTTGCTCAAAGCCCTGTCCAGCCTGGCTTGAATACTTCCAGGGATGAGGCTTCTGCAACTTCTTTTGGCAACTTGTGCCAGTGCCTCACCACCCTCACAGTAAATAATTTTTTCCTGGAACCAAATCCAAATCTACCCTCTTTCAGCTAAAAACCATTTTCCCTTGTTCTATCACTACACATTCCTGCAAAAAGTTCATGATGTTGAATAAAACACTGACAAGTATTGTGTAACTAAAAATAGCTCTGTGTTTTGCAGTCATGTGAAAAAACAATGAAAATCACTATTTCATCTTATCTTATCTTGTGTTTTTTCAGGATCAAGCATGAAAATATAGTTGCTCTGGAAGACATCTATGAGAGTCCAAACCATTTATATTTGGTCATGCAGTTGTAAGTACTGAACCTAATGAAGTCTTTATATCAAAGTTGCCAACTCTTCTTGCTCTGGTTTTGTTCTTTAACTCAAAAAATGAGATATATAAGAGGTATTTGTTTCATGCGCTACAGACTGTAAAATCCCTGGAGGGTGGTCAAAACCAGACCTCTAGTTGTGATGTGCTGTGTCTTTGTAAAATTGGGAATTAAATTGTTTGTGACTAGTCTCACCCAAATCAAACCAGAGTGGTTTTGTGAGATTGCATCAAGGAAAAGAGAAGAACAGACAGGGCAGGGGAGTGAATTACAGCTGAGAAGAGCCTGATGTGCCATAGGGAAGCCTCAGGGGAAGCCCTTGGGGAAAATGCTGGTCCCTTGTCTGTTGGTAAGGTCCAGGCATGGTGATGTCCTCAGAAGTTGTTGTGCTGGCATTGTGGGGAGAATAACATCCTGTAAATTCTTAGTGTGTTTCTGTAGCCCTACATCTCAGTTCAGAGTGCTGCAAAAGGAGAGAAACATTAGTGTTGTACAAATTCCAACAAGCCAGCTGGACTGTGGGAAGTACCAATTTTGTGATAAGTTGATTCATAAATCCTTAGTTTTGTTTAATGTCTTCAGAAAAATAAATAGATATTATTCCTACTTATTATTAGCTTGTTTAATATAGTGTAACCATCACTTTTATAAAATAATTGCATCCAGATATTTGGGTTATCTGAAATGTAGTTCTGTAATGAGAGGTGACACTGATTACATCTTGGTATAAATTTTTATTTGATCACCATTCAACACTTCCTAGGGAGTTATCCCTTTCTGTTATAGCTGTACTTGTGAACCCAGCCGGGTAATTTTCCAAAGGCCAAGCATTTGGCTGCTCCAGGGGACACAGGTCCAGTGGGGTGAGATGCCCAGCTGAAGGCAGCAGCCAGAGCCCATCAGCAGAGTTTGGGGTGGCAGCTCCAGGCAGTCCCCAGCCCCAACAAAGAGCTGTGCCTTGTGCTACAAGACAGACCAAGAGCACTAAACTGAATGGAGGGAATGATCTTCCTGCACTTTTTTGGGAAAGTGCTGTGTTATCTCAAGGTGGAGAGGACAAGAACCCTCCAGGTTACTCAGGGTTCTCCAAGCCAGGTACTCACCCTCATCTCTTTGGATGTCACCTGAAGGATGGTGCAACCTCTGCACTGCTTCTGAGTTTCCATCAATAGTTAGGCTTGGGATCAATTGGTATCAAGAGTTGGGTGGCAACACTGCAAAGTCCAGGCGGCTCAAAATCCATTTTGCTTCCCTCCTTTCATGGATTCTGTTTGGGAGAAGGCATGTATGGATAATCTCTTGTTTCCAAGGTAACACCAACTTGTTGATACAATGGCTATGAACCATTGCACAGCATGAAGTATCTTATCTTTTTGTTTATATTTCTGCTCTGATTATTATTAGATTCCCTGTGGGTTTTTCAGCTTCTCATTTTTGTTTATTTCTCCTAAACAACTTCTCCTAATTTTGCCTTCCTTTAAAACTTGGGTTCTGTGAAGCAGAAGGGGTTCTGATCAAGCAGCTTTGAGAAAGCCACATTTAGACTGCAAAAAAAAGAAGGGTATAATCAGGGCCACTCAGAGATCAGTATCACGAGCACAACAAATCTCAAATCCATTTGTCCTTTTCCCTGGGACATTGCTTGCAAAGTGGACTCTAGCTAATACTTCCCAAGGATTATTTTGTAGTGTGGACAGCATTTTCATTACCGAACTTTAGAGCACTCTTTGCTGTGTTGTGGAAAATTGACATTACAGCCCCTGAGCATCTCGCAGCACCTCTGTGGGAGAAGGTTTTTGAAGGCAGACCAAGCCTCCCTGTTTATGTTTGTCCTTGAGTGCATCTCCTTTTACATGAAAGCCATGCTTGTTAGCAGGCCAGCTTGAAGGATAAATATCACACCTCATTTATTCTGTCAAAGATATGGGCAAGTAAAGGTCTCAGTGTCTGTGCTGGGGTTGGAAAGGAGGGAGGTTAAGAGGCAGCTGTCCATGTCTCAAATTGACACTCAATTTGTTCCTGCTAGTCCCTCTGGGAGCGCTTCCCAGGGTTACATTGCTGGTGGTGAATCTGCTCTGTGTGTTTCCCAGTATGTCCATGGGGAAATAAGATCTCTGGCTTCGGTTTCACCACCTTGTTTTCACATTTATTGTGTACAAGCCATGACAGAACTGTTCAAACTGACACAATCCTGTTAGTGCAAGGTGGACCTGAAGTCCAGGTTGGAGATTGCTGGATTTCACAGCTCAGAATTTCATGTGCTGTCTCCAGGGGTTATACTGTTCCTTATAAAGGGCTGGGCTATTTTTGCTTTATTTATTTTCCCAAAATGCAAGATATTCCAGCCCAGTGTTTCTAAGTTTGGCAAGGTTGTGGATGACTCCTTGCTGTCTTTGACTCCCAGCTTTGGTGTGAGGGGGTCACTGGTGCAGCTGCAAAGCCAAATACAGATGTAGATAAACGCTGCCTCTCCTGTGATGACTCTGCCAAACTTTTGCAGTCACTATAGAAAAATACTGTAGAACATTTGTCCTATTTCCATGAGGATGATGTGCTTTCCAACCAGGAAAAAATCTGCTCCTTCCCAAGTTTGGATTTCTTATAGTACTGTTACATAGGCAACAAAGACAAAAACTGAAATGAAACCGTTGAAAGTTTCATTCCTTCTGGAAGCTGCTTGAGATTTCCCCAGAGGATATTGTAGAAGACAGGGGGAAATAAATTGCTTTCAGAAATAGTTTTATTTAACAATTTTGGTGTAATAGTAAGCTCTGTTACAAAGCAGTTATAGGACTTTTGGTTGCTGTTGGTACCATTTGGTAAGAATTACCTTACTGTATCTTACAAGTGATCTGCCTTATTTCACCTGTCAGTATAGGGAAAGATCTTGATAATCTGTCATGGTTGGTGATGTCAGATACAAATGTTTCATTACCATAATCAGCCTCTTTGGGTATTGATGATTCATTTTCTGCACGCTGGAAAATCATGCATAAAAATGGATTTACATAAACACATGGAAACTTAGAGTCATTTAGGTTGGAAAAGGCCTCAAAGATCATTGAGTCCAGCCATTAACCTGTCACTGCCAATCCCACCATGTCCCCAGGTGCCACATCCACACATCTTCCAAGTACCTCCAGAGGTGGTGACTCCACCACTTCCCCGTGCAGTCTGTTCCTGTGCCTGACAATCCTTTCAGTGAAGAAATTTTTCCTAATAATCCAATCTAAATGTCTTTTCCAGCTGAGTTTTGTGGGTCCATTTGCAAATTCTGTTTCTGACTGTGCTGCCTGCGTAGATCAGAGCAGATTTCCAAGGCTTGACTGATTTCATCTCTATTGTTCACCTGCACTGAAGTGTGAAGCAGCAGAGTTTGGTTTCCCTGAGATTTTTGTGTAACTGGTGCTAGTCAAAGCCACATGATCTGAGGCTGTTGCTTCTCCAGCAGAATAGGGGACCATGTTAAAAATCTATTAAGACAGTAATTTCCTTTTTCTCCTTTATTCATCTGTATTGCTTAAAATAGGTAGGAACTTAATATTTTTGCTACCTCTACTCTTCTGTCAAAGTTGGTTGTAGTTCACCCAATGGGTCAGAAATTGCTAAGGGCTGGCAAGCTCAGATGGAGGGTCACTGCCTCACTGCCTTTGGAAAACAGGCTAAAAATGGGTCTAAAAGGCACCTCCAAAACAAATGGAGCAGCCCAGGGTAGTGTGCAGCTAGGTAAGTAATGGTTAAAACTGAAGACCCACCTGTGAGTTTCATTGCAAGTTTTTGCACAGTCAAGAATATTGACAAATCCAGAGGAATTCTTGTCAATACTAGGATCTAGTTAAAGGAGGTGAAAACCCTAATGCCTGTCTGGTATAATGTTCCACTTCTTTGGGGCACCTGTGATCTGATCCTCTTGGCAGGACTGCTTTACCTAGATCCTGTCAGCTCTGTTTCTGGTTCTCCAAAGAAACCAGAGTATTTTCCTCTGTGAGGTCTTTTGAGACTTTGGTGTCTCTGCTGGGAACAGTTTTTAGGGTGAACATCCTGTTTCACCCAACCCTGAAGTACTTCTCCTTACCTTTGCAAAAAAAACCCAGCCCAGGCCGAGCCAAAACCCCCAACCCTGAAGTTTTCCCAGCTTGGTCTCTGAACTCTGATGAATTATTCAGATTATTTCTGTCTCAGAAAAGCTGAGATAATGGAGGCTCCTTCCTGCCGGGTGCACACTGAGGAAAGCTCTGCCCACAGGTTTGCAGGCTCAGAATCCCAGTGTCCCATTCCTGCTGTTTATCAGCTTTACCCTGCCACACACAAGCACCTCATAACCCTGCAATGCCTTGGGAAGCAGCTCAAACAGGCAGGAACTCACCAGTGGTAAAATCTGCACAAGTTTTTGTTATTACTGGGACCACTCTGCTGGTGATTTTGCCTCTCAACTGCTTTGCTAATAAGTAAGCAGAGTGCTACTCTGTGATTAAGTGCTGAATTCACTTTGTTTTTTGGAAGCCCAATGCCTGAGTGCACTCTGAGAGCAGCCGAGCATGAGCTGTGCATGTAAGTGACATTTCAATGAAAATATTCAGGCTCCAAGAAAAACAAGAGACAATGGAAGGAAGTGTTGTGTTTGCCAGGTTCCTCACGGAGTCTAGCAAGGGCTCGGTGTGTTACAAAACAGAGATCTGCATGCCAAGCCACTATCACATCAGGATGCTAATTAAAGCAAAACACAGATCTGCCATGCCACATTCCTTAGGTGAGGCTGGTTCCCCTGCTTGGGGGGTTTTGTGTAAGCTTTATGCAAAAGAAGGAACAGAAGGAAATCTCTCTGCATTCGCAGTGGAATTTATGCCATAGAACCAAAGAATGATTTGAGTTGGAAGGGACTTTAAAGATCATCCAGTTCCAACCCTGTGCCCTGAGCAGGGACACCTTACACTAGAGCATGTTTCTCAAAGCCCCATCCAGCCTGGCCTTAAACACTT